ACACTGCAGTCTACGTGTATGTGAACACTGCAGTCTACATGTATGTCAATACTGCAGTCTACCGTATGTTAACACTGCAGTCTAAGTGTATGTTAACACTGCAGTCTACATGTATGTTAACACTACAGTCTACATGTATGTCAACACTGCTACCTACATGTATGTTAACACTACAGTCTACGTGTATGTTAACACTGCAGTCTACGTGTATGTCAACACTGCTATCTACATGTATGTAAACACTGCTATCTACATGTATGTTAACACTGCTGTCTACATGGATGTTAACACTGTTGTCTACATGTAGGTTGACACTAATGTCTACATGTATGTTAACACTGTTGTCTACATGTATGTTAACACTGTTGTCTACGTGTATGTTAACACTAATGTCTACATGTATGTTTACACTGCAGTCTACGTGTATGTTAACACTGCCGTCTACTTTTATGTTAACACTGCAGTCTATTTGTATGTCAACACTGCTGTCTACATGTATGTTAGCACTACAGTCTACGTGTATGTTAACACTGCAGTCTATTTGTATGTCAACACTGCAGTCTACATGTATGTTAACACTACTGCCTACATGTATGTTAACCCTGCAGTCTATTTGTATATCAACACTGCAGTCTACGTGTATGTCAACACTGCTATCTACATGTATGTAATCACTGATATCTTCATGTATGCCAACACTGTTGTCTACATGGATGTTAACACTGTTGTCTACATGTAGGTTGACACTAATGTCTACATCTATGTTAACACTGTTGTCTACATGTATGTTAACACTGTTGTCTACGTGTATGTTAACACTAATGTCTACATGTATGTTAACACTGCAGTCTACGTGTATGTTAACACTGCCGTCTACTTTTATGTTAACACTGCAGTCTATTTGTATGTCAACACTGCTGTCTACATGTATGTCAACACTGCTGTCTACATGTATGTTAACACTACTGCCTATATGTATGTTAACCCTGCAGTCTATGTGTATGTCAACACTGCTGTCTACATGTATGGTAACACTGCAGTCTAGATGTATGTCAACTCTGCAGTCTACGTGTATGTTAACATTATAGTCTACATGTATGTTAATACTACAGTCTACATGTATGTTAAAACTGCAGTCTACGTGTATGTTAACACTGCAGTCTACGTGTATGTCAACACTGCTATCTACATGTAAGTTAACACTAAGCCTACATATATTTCAATACTACAGTATACATGTATGTTAAAACTGCAGTCTATGTGTATGTTAACACTATAGTCCACATGTATGTTAACACTACAGTCTACGTGTATGTCAACGTTGCTGTCTACATGTAAGTTAACACTAAGCCTACATATATTTTAATACTACAGTCTACATGTATGTTAAAACTGCAGTCTACATGTATGTTTACACTGCAGTCTACATGTATGTTAACACTACAGTCTACGTGTATGTTAACACAACAGTCTACGTGTATGTTAACACTACAGTCTACGTGTATGTTAACACTGCAGTCTACATGTATGTTAACACTGCTGTCTACGTGTATATCAACACTGCAGTCTACATGTATGTTAACACTGCAGTCTACATGTATGTTAACACTACAGTCTACGTGTATGTTAACACTACAGTCTACGTGTATGTTAACACTATAATCTACATGTATGTTAACACTGCTACCTACATGTATGTGAACACTGCAGTCTACATGTATGTTAACACTGCGGTCTACGTGTATGTTAACACTGCAGTCTACATGTATGTCAACACTGCTATCAACATGTATGTTAGCACTACAGTCTACGTGTATGTTAACACTGCAGTCTACATGTATGTCAACACTGCTATCTACATGTATGTTAACACTGTTGTCTACATGGATGTTAACACTGTTGTCTACATGCATGTTAACACTGCAGTCTATTTGTATGTCAACGCTGCTGTCTACATGTATGTTAACACTGCAGTCTACATATATGTCAACGCTGCTGTCTACATGTATGTTAACACTGCAGTCTACATGTATGTTAACACTACAGTCTACGTGTATGTTAACACTACAGTCTACGTGCATGTTAACACTATAATCTACATTTATGTTAACACTGCAGTCTACATGTATGTTAACACTGCGGTCTACGTGTATGTCAACACTGCAGTCTACGTGTATGTTAACACTGCGGTCTACGTGTATGTTAATACTGCAGTCTACATGTATGTCAATACTGCAGTCTACATGTATGTGAACACTGCAGTGTACATGTATGTTACCACTACAGTCTACGTGTATGTTAACACTGCAGTCTAAGTGTATGTCAACACTGCTATCTACATGTATGTCAACACTGCTATCTACATGTATGTTAACACTGTTGTCTACATGTATGTTAACACTGTTGTCTACGTGTATGTTAACACTAATGTCTACATGTATGTTAACACTGTTGTCTACATGTATGTTAACACTGCAGTCTACGTGTATGTTAACACTGCAGTCTACTTTTATGTTAACACTGCAGTCTATTTGTATGTCAACACTGCTGTCTACATATATGTCAACACTGCTGTCTACATGTATGTTAACACTACTGTCTACATGTATGTTAACACTGCAGTCTATTTGTATGTCAACGTTGCTGCCTACATGTATGTTAACACTGCGGTCTACGTGTATCCTAACACTGATGTCTATGTGTATGTTAACACTGCAGTCTATTTGTATGTCAACACTGCTGTCTACATGTATGTCAAGACTGCTGTCTACATGTATGTTAACACTACTGTCTACATGTATGTTGACACTGCAGTCTATTTGTATGTCAACACTGCAGTCTACGTGTATGGTAACACTGCTGTCTAGATGTATGTTAACACTGCAGTCTACGTGTATGTTAACACTAAGCCTGCATGTATTTTAATACTACAGTCTACATGTATAGTAACACTACAGTCTAGATGTATTTTAACACTGCAGTCTACGTGTATGTTAACACTATAGTCTACATGTATGTTAATACTACAGTCTACATGTATGTCAACACTACAATCTACATGTATGTTTACACTGCTGTCTACGTGTATGTTAACACTGCAGTCTACATGTATGTTAACACTGCAGTCTACGTGTATGTTAACACTATAGTCTACATGTATGTTAATACTACAGTCTACATGTATGTCAACACTACAATCTACATGTATGTTTACACTGCAGTCAACATGTATGTTAACACTGCAGTTTACGTGTATGTTAACACTACAGTCTACATGTATGTTAACACTGCTGTCTACATGTATGTTAACACTATAGTCTAAATATATATGTCAACACTGCAGTCTTCATGTATGTCAACACTGCAGTCTATGTGTATGTTAACACTGCAATCTACGTGTATGTTAATACTACAGTCTACATGTATGTTAACACTGCAGTCTACATGTATGTTAACACTACAGTCTACATGCATGTTAACACTGCAGTCTACATGTATGTTAACACTGCACTCCACAACCAATTACAGGACTCACTTCAACCTTTTTAATTTTGTTTTGTTTGTTTGTTTGTTTGATTAATTGTTGTTTAACGACGCACTCAGCAATAGTTCAGGTATATGACGATGGTCTGTAAATAAGCGAGACTGGACCAGACAATTCAGTGACTGACATCATGAGCATCGATCCACGAAATTTGGAAACGACGACATGTATCAACCAAGTCAGCGAGCCTGACCACCCAATCCAGTTAGTCGCCTCTTACGACAAGCAAGGGTTGCTGACTACCTATTCTACCCCGGATCTCCACGGGTCCCTTTTTCACTATCTGTATAAGTCAATTGTAAATACAAATAACACGCAGAACACAAAAGGGGTGCATGGGTGCACATCCCACTTTTTCTAACCACCCGGTTTGTTTGACTGTCTTTTATCGCCGTACTCGGCGGTCTGTAAATAATCTGGACCAGACAATCCAGTGATTTATTTCATGCGCATCGATCTACGCAATTCTGTTACCACCCTATCCCGTTTGTCGCCTCTTACGACAAGCACAGTCTCCTTTTACGCCGACAATGGGTTGCCGAGGACCTATTCTACCCGGGGATCTAACCACATTGAAAGTGTTATGTTTAATAGGGAATCTATATGGGATCGGGAATACTTAGCGTAAACGAATTAAAACATCATAAGGATATATCCTGCCCCATCATACCCGTCAGTCAGAAACACATTGCAAGTCGACGGTCAAGTCAATCAACAGAAACAAATGAACCAAGTCAAATTCCGGAATTGTATCGGACATAATTTTGGTCAATGAAGAAAGTTCTGAAACGACTACCATACATTTTTTGAAAGCTTAGGAGATGCCACATCACGTCTTATGGGCAAACGAATGAAGAATGAAGATTGTACTGTAGTTTAATTGTGATTTCCTTTTTTTTCTTTTTTTTGGGGTGTGTGTGTGTGTGTGTGTGTGGGGGGGGGGGGGGGGGGGGGATGGTTGAATTGAACTTGCTTCCTTTCTTAGTTTGCAAACATTCAAGCATTATCATGTCGACACGAAGACCATCAGGCTAGTTAGACAGAGGTCACCTGATATCCATCAAAGAAGTTCAACAGGTCCCAATCGACTGTGACTTCGGACACATGGTCGTTTAGAGTTCACGATCTGTTCTGATAAACATGGAGTCCAAAAGAAGAAGTCTTGATCGGTTAATGGCTCTATATTTGCTGTTTTATACTGTAATTTCACGATAAAGACACACTTATTCGATGTGTGCCAGCAATGCATCGTAGATTGGATCTCTGACTTTCAAGAGAGTAAACGCCCCAGCACGCTGTCAATAATGATTTTTCTTCGCAGCGAAAACGTTTCATCTGTCTACTTAACAGAGCAAACGCCCACGCACAGTGTCAATATTGATTTGGTATTGGGGATGATTGCAACTAGCTACATAATACGTTCAGTTGAATTAGAGCAGCAGTAGTCGTAAACGCGATGGCTGGTTTAAGAGTTCTCGTCACTTATGTGTTTGTGTGTGGAGTTCAAAGTAATGTTCAATTTGGGTATTTTCACAAGGTTTGCAATGACGTGAAAAAGCTGGGATTTCAAAGGTGGACCCACCATGGAGTGGTGAACTACGTTCACTGCGCCACGCGATGCGTCAGCGACAACCAGTGTCTTTCATTTCAGTACAACCCCTTAACAGGTGTCTGTACTGGCAACAACGTCTCACACGGAAACTCACAGGAGTTTGGCGAAATTGTTGACACGGGCAACTGTATATTCTATCCAGTTGAAGGTAGGTAAATTTTGTAAGGATAAGAGCTATTTGGAATTCACGCTGTTTTAGCAATATTTCAGCGTTATCACGGAATCGAACCCGGACCTTCAGCGTGACGAGCGAATGCTTTAACCACTCATCTACCCCACTCCCTATGTGTGTGTGTGTGTGTGTGTGTGTGTGTGTGTGTGTGTGTGTGTGTGTGTGTGTGTGTGTGTGTGTGTGTGTGTGTGTGTGTGTGTGTGTGTGTGTGTGACTGTATGTACACTACTTCCTAGAAGTTCATTCCCCTTACACGCAGGAGGACCCATATTAAGCTGAACTTGGAGGTCGTAACAAGGAGAGAATATTTTGATTTCCTGACGAAAAATGTTAATACACATTTTATCATATGTACTTGCTGATGTCTCATTTCACGTCTCAACTGAATATGTACGTGTTTAATATAATCTCTAAGTGAATTTTTTGCACATTTTGACTGAAAAAATATAAACACAATAAAATAAGCATTACTAAGTTGAAATATTTACTTTGTGTTGCACGTCAAAATAGTGTAAACGAAAATACCAAGCAAGTGACTTACCAAAACTACCTACATTTCCTTATTATTTCCAAAACTGTATTTCATTTTGTTGATGAATGTGACCATACGTCCTTATACTACCAATAAAAGTGGCAAATGCGCTTACGAATGGCCCAGCACAGATCGTGAACAAGTCTAGATTTCTGCTATATCATCCAGGTACAAAAACAATAACAAAGGCAACAACCAGTCCCGTGGAGTTGCTTTAGATCAGTGCCCCTTTAAAGGAATACATGATCCTGATAAGTGTTATTGCTATTCAAATGCTTTTTTTTGTGATGTGACGTTGAACGTCTGTAGCACGACTTTCAGTAATCATGTTTATAAGGTTTGGCGGAGCATTGTTTTTATTGGACCCTAATTACTTTATGACAGTTACAATATATATTTTTTCAACCTACATTCAAGTTTACTAGTCTCATCTTTCAGAGTATTTGTCAATTGTGTTGAGCTTACAAGCAATAATTGTAATTTCTGGTGACAGGTAAATATGAAACGTCTCATGTTAGACACAAAGTAAGTACGATAGTAAATAATGATTATATTCAAATCGCAATTAAATACAATGATAACAAGATTCATGTGTAAATCTAAAGCCCTAGAGCCATACGTGCCATTCAGACAAAAGGGTCAGGTGTGACAGTTATCACAATCTCACCGGTTATAAAGATTTGATACATGCCGACTGACACTCTGATGGGTCAGAGATTTAAACAACAGATCATACACACGCTTCCTATTCAGTATGTACGTATGATTACACGGTTGTGTGTATGTATGTATGTATGTATGTATGTATGTATGTATGTATGTATGTATGTATGTATGTATGTATGTATTTGTGTTACGTACGCGTGTGTGTACGTATGTGTGTATGCGTGTGTGTGAGTGTGTGTATATGGATGTTTATGTTTACACCAGTCTAACACAGACTTATTCCATCTTTTGTAGAGACCGGAACAATTGGAGTTGAATGTAACAACAATGCGGACTGTCATGTGACCATGTCAGTCTGCTACCAGGGGATATGCAAATGTACTCCCGGCTACAGTTTCAGTCCGACAAACGTTACTTGCGTCAGAGGTTAGTCTGTCATTAATGTCATTAAGTTGTTTTCTTCTGTGTGACATTGACCTCTTTGTGGTTTAAATAAATGTTACTTGTCAGTAATATGCTCCGGTTACAGCACGACGTATCACGTGCACGTTGTTGGTAGTAGGAGTAACAATCAGATGTACCTGTAATATGAGAGTAAGAATTGGACTTCTGCAACCAATGCTTGTCGTGAAAGATGACTCTGCTTGTCGTAAGAGGCGACTAACGGGATCGGGTGGTTAGGCTCGCTGACTTGGTTGATGCATGTCATCTATGCTCATGATGTCAATCTCTGGATTGTCTGGTCCAGACTCGAAACACAATCCAGACCGCCGTCATATAGCTGGAATACTGCTGAGTGCGGCGTTAAACAACAAACAAACCAATTTATTATCTAACGATAAACATGTCATTGACCTAACATAACCCTTGGTTCTTTTGTTTTAGGCGAAGACAAAATAAGGTTCAAGCTTTTACACCTAACTTTATAATGTTCTCTATTATGTCCTCAGTGTGTTCGGAGTATGGCTTAGATATGACCAAATATCCTGGACTTAGTATTTCTGGTCATAACACCATCACTTCCTACGGCCTCACCCCTGAAGAGTGCGTCACAGCATGCGTCACACAAACCACGTATGTTTGTGTGAGCACAGACATGAAACTCAGTGATGGCAGGTGTTCTCTGCAAGAAGTGGGCTATCTCGATGTTAATGTGCCTGACCGTGAAACAGAAGTGGACGGCTGGGTGTTCTCAACAAGAAACTGTGCTGCCTAACGTAACAATGATGAATATAAAAGGATGATGATGGATCGAATTGTAATTTACAAGCTTTTGTATATTTCCGTCAGTAGACAGTGACATTAATCATGTGGTACATGTTGTATGCAATACAGCATACAACCGAAAACGTATACGTTATTGCTATATAAACTAACGTATATCACCACTGATCTTACTGACTGTTTGTTTAATGCCCCAAAACAAAATGTGAATACGTTCCAAATCACCTGTTTCACAAAAAGTCCATCTAGTATATTTCAATGCATTGTATATTCCTACATAGCCGTGACAAGACCGAAAATAACTTCTGTCACTGGTGGAATGCAATTCGCAAAGTTCCACCGACCGAATTCTCGAGCCAAGATACTACTGCCAGTATGACGTCACTGTGTTGACAGTTTGATCGGTTGTCGTAAATCGAAAAGCTTGAGGAAAGCATTACCGGTTCAAGACCGAGAAATCTTAGTTCCGATTCACTAATTATATTTTCTTGTCTTGGGTTACACATATCCACGAGGGGGCACGGGTGGCCCAGTCGTCTGAGACGGCGCGATACGCTGTCCAGAGTTGCGTCCCTTGGGCACGCCAAAACTTATGATTTTTGTGGGTTCGTATCCAAGTTTGCCCGATTGTGTTTCTAGGTTTTGTCAGCACCATACCCGTGCTCGTGGGTTTCACCGAAGTGGTAAGCGTCTGAGACCTGCATCACTTCGGGCTTTCCTCCCACATTAAGCTGACACACCGTGATATAACTCGAATAATGTTAAAAGCGGCGTTACTCACTCACTCACTCACTCTCTCACTTATATCCACGTCCTAGTGTCCGGTTTGATTATCATGGGAAACTCCGAGATCCATATTTCGATTTGATTGATAAATGGAAGTGTACGTAAAATCATCCTTGTGAACATCATTAACTGAATGTAATACTGTTAAAAGAATAATTATAATATTATTGTTTATAATGCAATAAATGTTCATTGTGTATTTCTCTGTTGTGCAATTGTTCTTGATAATTTAGATATTTCAAACTGTGTGGTTGGTGGTATTGGGAGTGATCAACAATTCGCTACTCAAAGCTCTACCCCAGAACCGTTACATGATTGTAATGACAAAATACGGGACTTTGGCAGTTTTTCTAACCAACGAACACCCAAAATCAATGTAGTGTTTCCAGCATCCAAAGAAGTTGACGCAATCATGGTGACACATCTTCCAGAGGCAAGCGTGTCCACTAGCCTATATCACCATTGCCATCTAAAGCCTAGTCTTCCATTCTAAAATATGAGCGTCCTAACGCACATTTCGACAGTCCAAACAGAGAACGTTTTACCAAACCAACATCCGTGTTCCGAACACGAGGTCGCTGCTATAGCCACACCCATCGCCTGTCGAATGTGCTGGAATGATTCTAAAAAGTTAGCTAAGCCAAATATTTTTGAAGTGGTTCAACGTGTTCAATCAACTCGCCCAAGTACTTTTAAAGATTTGAGTTCAACCTTTATTGTTATTATTAATTGAAACGACTGAATGCTTATCGCAACGACTGAGAAGCAGTGCTATTTCTAGACGACCTCTGCTGAGCCTTGCATGTTGCCGCGAGTTGCTTGATACTGTCAAAGATAAGTCTTTGATAGTCGCACTAGTCTGTATGCCTCTGTTATTGTCAGAGCGAAATGCGGCAGTAAAAAGTATCTTTACTGTGGTGATCTGTCAGAGATGAAAGCTCAGATATTTTTGCTATCTGATTGACCAGGCCGTCTGCTATGGTAGTCATCCCTCTGAAGCCATTCAAATAAGAACAGCCATGATATCACGTTTTCATAACAAAGGGCACAGCTGGTGTTTTATACGTAGTGGCGCCACAATTAAGGCAAGAAATGGCAAGGTTACATACGACTCTTACTCAGAAGATGTTTGATCAAGGTTACAACATTCAAGGCCTCAGTAAAACTTCCAAAAACTTTTAAGGGTAGACCGGAGGAGGACATTTCCAAATTTGAGGCATTAGTTACCAGAATATAGAAGTGATACAAAACAAGAGAGAGAATATATGGTTGGATATATATTCTCTCTCTAACAACCGACTTGCATTTGCATGTGTTTTTTGATGGGTGCCAGCGGGAGGGAAGGATACGTTCCCTCTTTGCAAACACCTGGTGTCATCAGTATTTGATAGTGATTCATTAACACATGCTCATGATATAGTCGGAATTGCTCATGATAATAATCACTGGATCATCTGGTCCAGATTATTTACAGAGCTGGAATATTGCTGAGTGAGGCGTTAAACAACAAACCAACCAACCAACCAATCTTTCTCGTCAAAACAAGATGAGAATATATGGTTGGATATATATTCTCTCTCTGATAATCGACTTGCATTTGCTCGTGTTTGTGATTCATTAACACATATTCATGATGTACTCGGAATCGTACAATCGACTCTGCTTTTGGCAGAGATTTCTGATGTATATGGAAGGGTTTTGTCGCTCATATTTGTTTGAAATGTTTGGCTTTCAGAAACAGACAGCACTAAATCAGACAAAGACACCATGTTATAGAAGTTGAGAATTGCAAACAAGTGAATTGAAGCAAATGCCAAAACGCGGGTCACAAAAGAAGAGAAACCTTTTGAATGTCTTTTAGACTTAGTTAAAGAAGTGCCTCATATTGTCATTGGAAGAATTCACAAACCGAAAACGAGAAACAGAGTTTGAATAATCCCTCTTTGTGACAGCCAACTGTCATGCAAAGTCTAGCTGCGCGACAGGAAGATGAATCATGAAACATGCTCCTGATGTTGTCGCAATGGTGCAGTTGGCGCTACTTTTGGCAAGGGTTTCTCATGATAATGGAAATGCTTATGTCGCTTTTGTTGACCGATAAACATGAAAAGATATAATGTTAGTGTATATGGTCATGTAATTAAGAAACAAACGACGAGTGGGAGTTGTTTATTGAACGATAAACAACGACCGAGACTCGTTTATTTCTATATGAGATATCAACATTACGTACAGCCTCTTTTAGGGTGTTAAATTAGGAAAAAATACATGCTTTACAATATTTACCCGTACTTAAATAATGATGATTCCTTGAATAGAATCCGACAGCGGCCATGCTAGATAAATCCATTTTAGGATTTGAGTTTGGTCCCGCATATTCTCACAATTTTCTCGTCAATCATCTGTACCTTTTCTCCCAATACCAATTGTCATATCACTCTCACACTGCAAACACGAAAACGTCGTTTTTTTCCGTATATGGTCATTGGACGGAAAAACGACTAAAAATTCATTAAAATTGATTAATTGGTCAGCGTCTAGAAAGTGTCCAGAAAAGGGTCGAGTTATTCAAGTGTAAAATGGACGGAAAAAACGATGCTTTTGGCTCCGCCTTGTACAACTGTTAACGGCCAATCAGATGGCGCTGGTCCCCCGACGCACGTGATGTCCAAGGCATCCTTTCGGAAGCTTTAGGTTTTGTATTTCTGGCATGCCTTGCTCTAGTATCTGTCGCGCGCAGAGCAGCGAGATTTGCTGATAAGCTAGTTTTAGGATATGTTACATGTTAATGGAATTCAGACACGCGCCAAGAAGTCAAACCAAACAATGTTACTAAGTTTATTGTGGTAACGGCTATGTACAGTTACCCCTATCGGATAATGGGTTGTGTTTCATTTGGTTATAACAATAACTAATTTTTTAATGTGAAGTTTACAAGATATACGACTTGGACGCGAGGTCGGTCACATGACGTTCTTCACGTGACTGTATTCTTGAAAAGGCGAAAACCCTTGGAATTCCCTGGTACGAATTCATACAGAAGCGTGGTTGCAAGCCCATTTAAGGATACCCTCGCTACAACCCATCCCAGAGAGAAAACACGAAAAAAAATCCAAACTGTCGCAGTGACAATTTACAGAAATCTATGAATTTACCTTAGTATCTATTTGACACATCTTCACAATCACCTTTCAATGATCGGCCAATTGATCAGTGATGCCAAAGGCTTGAAATAGCCACAGGTTAATTAACAACTTCGAAAATATCTCCCGTCACGTTTAACGTGTCGGCCATTTTGACGTATTGTACTTGATGTAAATGTATTACGACGCTCTGTCATTGTAATTGACTTACTGAGGTAATTATGTAAAAGATCTTCTCATCTAATGAGGATATTGTTTGGAATATATTTCTTGTAAACATACTAAAACATATGTGGGGGGAACTATTTTATTCCGGGGTGGCCCATTAAATCTAGTAGTAAGTCAAGGCACCATGCGTGATCTGTATTTTATGTGTTTAAATTACGATTTGGGGCGTTAATAAAATACACTGACGCAAGTATATTCTAATCAAATCAATTGGATAATTGAATATGCTTTCTTTTACATATTACATAACATCACTGCACAAAATATGAACAGTTGCAGTAACACTACGGTAATCGCATTAAACATCATTTTCAACTGTACAGTATTTCAGTATTTCAGTTATATCATGGTGTATCAGACTGATTTTGGATAAAAATCCGAAGTGGTTCAGGTCATCCAATGGGTGTTCGGGAAAAGGTGAGCGTATCCTGCCACACAAGTGGCACCCGTCACACACACATGCAAGGACAAGTCAATTGTTCAACTGAACAAAGCACGGAAACACACAATGATGCCCGTCCTCAGTTTTATCGAGCATGTAAATTATTTTGTCCGTCAAAAACATGGACGAGTATAAACAATATGTTCGTTCACGTAATACATGTGATACATTTGACAAAATTTATTGACTCGGATCATTATTGTTAATCACAGCGTATGCAGTTGAACTCATCACCCATCCTATTATTGATAACCCTTCTTGAAGATCTATGAAATCAGAAGCTGCAACACTCTATCTTTTAACTGGCATGTCAGACTTCTATTTCATTACTCAGTTTTATTTGGACGGATTACTATGGAAGGGACATTGTCTCGTTGTCGCATTGTCGCCTTTACAAAAACAAGCAAAACGTGTCAAAATTAACAAAAGCGCGACAATTGGCCATTTGTCGCATTGTCGCGTGTTCGCATTGTTGCTCTTTGATAATCCTTTTCTTTATTTTACAAAAGGGCGACGATGCCGTAAAGTGACATTTTCAAGGTCAAAATATGTCTCGTTGTCGCATTGTCGCCCCATCACAAATGTGTATAAAAGGCGTAAAGTTCAGTTATTGTTACAGTTAAGAAGTTCAACCTGATAAATGTACGTCTTGAAATTAAAACACAAGTCCGTCCGCGAGTCCATAACGTTTTATTGTGAGCTCTTCTCTAAAGGTGCTTAGTGTTCAACTCCCAGTTCCAAACACGTAGTACCTCCTCAATAATCCACATACCTCCAGTGCAGTGGTCTTCCGGAAGATCTTACTATTGACCGTATTAGACAACTGACGAATGCACGCCAGACCTGTGACCTCGTTGCAACCCTCGTGATGTGTTTGCCAAAGGGAGAGGTGTAGGAAATGTGTGCTCCAGCCCAGCGCAGAGCTCGCGACACACTGTATACTGATGAATACAGTATATTGCAGTTGATATACTGTATACATGTGATACTTATTAGCGGAAATGTTACAACTTTCAAGATTCAAGATTCAATTTGCATATATTTCATATACAACAGACCGCCGTCATATATCACTGGAATACTGCTGAGAGCGCGTTAAAACAAATTGTTTTCATAATGGAGCGCTGCAGTCATTTAAAAGGAACCGTATACATATGTACATGTAGTACCAACTCACTCTATTTGTTTCGAATATTCAGCAGAAAATATATTATTAACCAGGTCTTTGGGAAAAGATATCAGATTTTTATAAGCAGCCACATAGGGATGATAAAGGACCCCTCGCTGATTAGGTTCTTGTTTACTTAAGAGCAGAGTTAGCCATGTTAGATGATATAACCAAAATCCGGGAGCTCCGGTGGGGGGCAAGCTGGTTTTGTTAGTGTA